GTAAGTAGCAAAGATATTTACAAAATTTCTGCGTTTTTGGACTTCTTCTATTGTCCAGTATTCTATAAAATAAAATACACGACGTTTCAGAAACTGGATCTCTTTTCGTTCTCAGGTGAGGGGGAAGACACATACTAAGTTGGGCCCCTTAGAAAGAGATAACCTCAATCATAGCCTGTTTTCTAGAATACCGGAAGATGGAGAAAGGCCGAAGACCCAGTAACTCTATGTGTTATGCATCACCGTCAGAACGTCAGAACTCTTTGGAACCAACTAAGTTATTGTTTTCATATAACATATTTGTCACTTTGAAAAATGGACAGATTGAAAACATTTTTCGAATAAAATAATAAATATTCACGGAATGTATTCTTGTCCTACATACTCCGATTGAACGATTTTTGTTCAACTCTGTACGAAAGTCATGCTACCAAATTTTCCCTTTTCTCTTGCTCCCACTTTGGAGCACAGCGCTGATTTCTCAGTTTCATTATCATTTTTACAGACGGTAGGACACCTTGCACGGGTCATCGGCTCGTCGCAAAGCCTCTACCTAAACACAGGATAACACAAACACGAAATAAACGCATACAAACACACCAAACATCGATGCCTTGTGAGGGATTCAAATTCACGATCCCAGCTTCCAAGCGAGCGAAAACAGTACATTACGTAGATAGCTCGGCTACCGTGACCGACCATGCTATCAATTACCTCACAATAAAGGTAACCTACTCTTTAAAATTATCTGTGATCGAGGGTCTCAACAAGGTCATTGTGAGAATTTCGAAAGTGAGAAAAACTGGGACCCTTTACATACACATATTGGAGGTTCCAGGAGTATGTAACATGGTGGCCTCATAGTCTATTTTGATGTCTGAAATTCCTTTGTTGCCATATTATATATTTCTAGTAAAGAAGTCTCTATATAATGAGCTATCAAATTATTTTTAAGCTATCAAATTTGGCACATATTGGTTGAGAGTTCTTGATTTTTATTTAATTTTACTTGTAAACCTATTGTTGACACATTTTATTAAATGAACATTTTTAAAAATATGTTTACGACTAAACAACTCCAAAGGTATGTCAGCAGATACACAGAACCTTGATCTGTACATGCAATAAATTCCATAAATGTATATCTTTAAATTGATTAGAAAATTCATCTAAATTGTATCAAATTTCCATTCCGAAGGAAAGATTTACGAGCTAATTTTAATGTGCTTTTACATCGGAACGTTATCACAGGAGGAGCTCATAAATTTCCTACTGTGGTACCGTCCATGGTGCAATTAGTGGCGTACAAATGATAAGGAATTGTCAAGTTGCCATGACAACAGAGCCCTGCTTCAGCAGTTGGGAGTTAATGAGTTTGTTAAGAGAGCCTACGCATTTTATTGAATCCGAAGATAGGTTGTAGCATTGATAAATCTGCGCCTATATACCAAGTCCTAAGGGAATTCAGTACAAGTCAAATCATCACAAATCATTTCTCTAAGGTCCATTTAAGCGCTGTCCTATTTATCAGCACGCCGCAGCGTATTTGGTTCAGGCACTGTGCTGCAACCCGGAATGTCGTGGGTTCGATTCCCAATGAGGTAAATGTTTTTTTTCAATTGACCTAATCCTTAAAGCCGCACTATGTCCCTGGGGTCGACTCAGTTTCTAACAGAATTTAGTACCAGGAATCTTCCTGGGGTAAAGGTCGGCCGGTGCATAAGGCTGACAACTTCACCGTCATCTGTGAGCCGACTGTCCAGAAAATGTGGGAGCCTCGACTTCTCGCAATCCTATGGGCCTCCAAGTCCTGTTAGAGGGATGCTCTGTAACTTTTTTATTGTCTCTTACATCCTATTTATCAGTTCCATTTGGGTTTGTTTCTAAAACTGTGTACACATCTCATGTTTCCCGAATGTTATAGCATAATGAATCATTCTGTCATGTTTTTTTCTTCACGTAAGAGAGGCGTGGATAGCGAGAACTGAGGTTTTCTTTGTAGTGAAAATTCGTACTAAGGAGGTGCTTGGCTCGAATCTCGGAAGGGGTACCAGCTGTCCTAATTACTATTGTAGCGTGTGGAGCCGTTACTATGCAACGAACGCGAGATAAGCAAAATATACCAGAGCCGTTCCTAGGCAACTGCTCGGTAAGCATGTTCCCGCAGCAAGAAATACGAACGCAACAAGAGAGGAACGGTGTTTTCTCTATGGTCCTTGACGAGGTGTTATAACCGGGACGGTCTGGGACAACAAGCTAGTTGCATCGTAACAAACTTTTAAGTGTATATCTTATTTTAATAACTTCCCAATCAGTCCAGAAAGCACAGATTGAAGTCGTGGGACTTGACATGAATGAGCTGAATCCCAGGATCTATGTAGAGAGTCTATTTTCTCGTGCCACCGACGTTCCTGCTACTCTGTTTAAGCCGCTTTGTCTCTGTACAGTTCCAGATTCCCTGGAGCTAAGTGAGGTTAGGTAGAATGAGCGAGTGAGAGGCACAGAGAAAAGTAGAGCTATTAGTTCACCTGGTGGCGGTCTTTTGCATTTGCTGTCGCCACGACAACGCGATTTGAGGGTAGTTTTTTTTTTTTGTTTGTTTGTTTGATACCCCTAGCAACAGGGATCGAAAAAATCCCTCTAATTCTGAAATCCTCTTTCGATTCTCGATTTTAGCTTGGGCTTACTTCTCCCATGCGTGTACCCTCTTCCAGGCCCGTCTGTCTGTTTCTACCGTCCATACTTTATCTTCTCTCTTACGCCCGCTCTCAATAAGCATAGGCATTTAATCGCATTCTCGTCAGATACTGCACGGATATACAGGCATAAGGAATTAGGAACAGTTTTTTATAATTCTACATATTATTCTACAAATGTGTAACGGATAAAATTCGCGATTTCGTAAATCAATTTTAAGGATTATAAGACGCTCCCTCCTGAGCTCCTCATTCAAAAATATCCAGAATATTAGAGAGACAAATATTTGGATATTGTTGCTGCGTTTTTCATTGTTATTATTATTATTATTATTATTATGTCCAGTAAAACAAAATGAATTTCGTATATTATTATTATCCTCTGAAAATCTATACTATTCATTTCTTAATTAAATATTTATGTTTCATTCCTCAATTCATAATAACACTTAGTTTAATGATAATGAAATTATTATTACTGTTATAATTATCAGTTATTTGTTTGTTTACTTTTACTTTTATTCATTATTATTTCTTCCAAGTACTTACCTGTAATTTGTATTTGACTTTAATAAGTTTGTCTATAATGTAATTCATTCATCTGCACTGTGCTGTGTCTGTAATTGGCCTTGCGGCTGTTGACTCGGCACATTAATATTAAAGAATTGAATTGAATTATTGAAACTCGGTTTCTTACTTCAAAGACATGAGGTGATTGCAGAGATTAAAATTAAATATGACCTATTTTACCTAGTCTGTGAGAAAGTTTAGTGTTACGACATCATTACATCTGTACATGTCAATTTTTGCACCGTTCTAAATTCAAATCGGTTGACAGATATTGTATTTGTGAAATTTGGATTTAACATATTATTGAACACTACCCTGCTTTTATACTTCACAGTTTCCTACCATTAATGATAACGGCGCTGCAGCCATGTGAAATTTTTTATGTAGAAGTAACAATGTGTAATATAGAATTCTAAAATTTGTTATGGTAAATATCTTAATAGCCGGTCACGGTAGCTGAGCGGTCTAAGGCATGCACTGTCTTCGCTCGCTCGGAAGTCGGGATCGTGTGTTGATGTTTGTGTGCAATTTTCTGTGTTTGTGTACAAGTAGAGGCCTTGCGACGAGCTGATCACCCGGCCAAGGAGTCCTACCGTATGTCTAAGATCTAGTAAAACCGAAGTGAAAACGGAGAGTTTCATGGAGGTAGGCCTAGGCCCAAATGAGGGCTGTAGCGCCAATGAAAAAAAAATTAATAAACAAATAACTTGTATTAAATTCTTATTCGTGTCGAGCGTAATACAGTCATATTGCAGGGCTGTGAAAATTACAGCCGATTCATCAATCAGTATGAAAATATTGAGGTAACTTTAGACCTGGATAGAGAAATTATATATTTTTTAACGTTAAACTTTGTGGTGGAGCGAAATGTTTGTAATGTATGTAACATATAAAGAAAATACTGAACATGTTCATTAACATAGAGACGACTGAAATTTCTACGTGACTGTTTTTATCGTTATTAACATATTTATAAAATTTGTATCATAGATCTATTGAGAAGGCTTTGTGTATGCAGGTGCAAAACGTTTTCCCATACAAGAAACAAACTTCGTCAAAAATGATTAACATCAAAACCTTGAGAAGTTTCGGAGAAACAGCTGCAATTGTACAAGGATGTTATCCTTGATATACTAACAATATGCACTAAACAATGATACTATCTCAAGGTACCCCACGAACATCTAGAGACAAACGCAGATACCGCGGTTTTAACTCAAGCGTAATTTTCACTCTTCTTTATTTCTGACATCCTCTGTTCCTACTCTAACTACTACCAGTTCTCTATGTGTGCATGCACCATCTTGTACTTTCTAAGTGACTTGTCCAATAGAGCAGACAACTTCTTGAGAACCAAACTGTAATTCAGTCAAGAAATTCCAAGCATTTAATGAAACCCGAAGGTTCATTATCTTATTCAGAAGAGTTTCTCATTTTCGAGGTACTGTGTAGCATTTAGTAGTATGGTGATTTTTGTGGCGATACGATATCAGCCTCCCATGAAACCATAAACTGAAGAATAACTTAAGGTCAGCATTCCTAGACTGCTTATTCAGTATATCCCTACGTACTCGTTACATCTACATGACGTATCCTCTATCAGAAACTTGAGGACGCGCTATAATGTGTTTAACAGGCGCTCATTTAACATGACATCACCTCCTGCCCAGAAATACAATCCAAGTGTCACGCCAGAGGCTGTAGGAAGTACTTTGCAACGTGCTGAGTGCTTACCTGTCAGTTTGAAAGGAAGGCTTCCAACCAGGGGATCTGGCACTCTCTGTCCTGGGTCCAGTGGGTTGCCGAAGTGGAAGGGGCGCGGTCCAAAGTGGAAAGGATGAAATGGTTGATGTCCTGCAACAATCAGAACTGTGGTTACGGGATGTTAGTACATCCCTGTCCTTGTGAACCTGTATGGCGGGCAGCAGAATATTCCCTGATGATGGAGGCAGAAAATGTCTCCGAAACTTTAAACTTCTGCTTAGAAATAACACGGTTGTTGCCCGAGAAGGTTCTTCCATCCGGCAATGATTATTCTTTGATATTGGAGGCAAATATGATCTCCGAAATGTTGGGCTTCTCTTCCGAAGTGACGCAGCTGTTTCTGAGAAGGTTCAATAATAAGAGGAAGATCATTCCCTGATGATGGATGCACAGAAGTTGTTCGAAATCTTGCGATTTTCTTACAAATTTACACGAATCTTGTCTTAGAAGATTTAATCATAAAAATGATAATTTCCTGATGATTAAGGCAAATGTAACCCCCGAAATGACGCGGCTATCGCCCGAGGAGATTTAATCATCAAGAAATTATCAATTCCTGATAATGGGAGCAGAGAACGGTTTCGAAACTGGACTTCTGCTACGAAATGACATTACCGTCATCCGAGAAGATACGGTCACCAGCGTATGACCGTTCAAGTCTTACATTTTGAGTTGCCGTTGTTAGTTTAACACGCGACCTTGGACATCACAGATCTTCTACGTTTAATACTGAGCATAAAACGTTTTGAACTGCTCTAATTCCTTCTTCTAAAGGAAAACCTAATCTGCTTTACCTGAGCTCTTAAATACGGCCTGCTTGTAAAAGTCTCAAAATCGGCTAATTTCAATCTGTCAGTCTGGCACTCACGTGTTTTGGAGCGGGGTTCTCTTGGCCCGTCCACCGTCACCTTGATGGCCTTGTTGTAGGTCGCCATCTGTGGGGGTGAGGAACTGACAATGATGGTCAGAGTAAAGCTCTTTCCTGAAACGAAAAGAAAACCAATCTTCAGGGGGCTTCTGCAGGACCGCAGCTCTTACATGCGATTGTCTCGCTAATGTCGATGCTTTCGTCTTACTGCAATTGACAGTCACGAATAGGAATTTTCGATAGATTTTATTTTCCCACTCTACTGCCTATATTAGAGTCACGCGATAGCGTAGTTGGTTGAGGCACCATGCAACAACCCGGAAGGTCGCGGTTTCGATTATCGATTAGGTCGTTGGATTTTTCAGTTAATCTGATCTTTCCAGCGGCACTATGGCCCTGTGATCGGCTCAGCTTCTAAGAGAAAGGAGTACCAAAAACTTCCTGGCAATAAAGAGTAGTGGGCGCGTAAGGCTGATAACCTCATCGACATATTTGAGCCGATTATCGAGAGAAAATGTGGGAACCTCGTCGTTTCTATGGGCCTCCATGGCCTGTTACAGGGATAGTTTTACTATATTTTTACTGCCTATATTAGAACAAGAAGCAAATAATTATTATTCGAAAATACTGAAAAAGTAGACGCTGTTTACTGCAGATAATTTGGGGAGGGTTCTCTACTAGCTACCACAGTTAAAAGATTAATGAATAATCATGGCTCTTGAAAGTAGAATGCAGTGTTAATAATTAGATTATGTTATTTTAAAGTCTTTAAAATACTAATTAGAAGCAAAACATAATGTTGCAATTTATTTTTTGATAAATTTAATATAAATAAAAACAGTGCAGCGGAGAAGTGTAGGAAATGGATCATATTATCACGTGAGAGGAGTGACTACAGACGTGATTTGGATTGGTAACTGAATTTATTAAACTCTTGCACTACGAAACTACATGTAACTATCGCTAATTCACACACACTACTATTTACTACAGCACACGCTAAGTCTTCTGAACCTCCTATATCTTCACAGGTTGTCGAATGGCAACGGCTTCCAACTCCGTAGCTTCCTCAGGTTCCGTGTTCGTGCCCTTACTGGCTTTCGATTTTCTCCCAACTAACTAAATCCTAGATTTATCCTGCTTATAGCACCTGGGCACGGATCTCAAGGAAAGCACCTCGCCCAGCAGCTCTTTTAATGTTGCGTCACCCAGCTGTCGCACGGATTCATAGAGAACGCCGCTTCACCGTTATTACATGGCTGCGTCTTAGGAATCTGTCACCTAGCAACGGCGTTGTTTACATTTTCATTACTTAGCAACAGGTCTACATGCTACAACATATATAAATTGTTTTAAGAATTTCTTCTTATTTTGGGGATATTGTTTGCCTTAAAATGTTGGCAGTATTTGAACAAAGTAGTTTCGTCTGACAGGAGAGAGAGAGTGAGAGAGAGAGAGAGGTTCTACGAGTATTAGTCCTGAGAAGGCCTCGAATAATAATTTGACATGCAAAGAATGTCCGAAGCCACTTAGTAGAGCAGGCTACAAATGGGGAGGGAGGCTTCTGGCTGCGTGTAATTTACATGTTTCTCATAATGTGCACATGGCATTTTCATATCGCCCGACACGAGGCTACAGTAATCCCTCAGAATGAACTATTCATAGGTTCAGGAATGGTTACAACTGCTTAGGGAAATCGTTGCCGTAAATGTTCACTTGTTCATCAAGCCAGGGCATTGACTACAGCATGCCTCACAAAGAAACAGCTCGTAACAGTTCCTAACGCTTGGAGTTTAGAAGAATTGCCACAGTATTTTGCCCGATATATTTTATTTATTTAACAACGACAACGTTCGAGTCATTCTCCTTTCGCATAACATTTCTAAGCTCTCCCAAGTATTCTGTCCATATTTCCAGCCTACACTCTAATCTTAATCGTTAGCTACTTTCATTATTTTGGAATAATGAAAGTCGGCTTATGAGATCACCATGCTGTCTGTGCGTATTTGAATCCCCCACCCCTAAATGTTTGAATGCCTGAACTAGTCTTTATGAAACTTGATATGTATATCATGGTAAATGAGCCCATCTCATTGGTGTAATTCATAAATCACTCCCATCAGTCTGTGCATCTCTATGTGTATCTCCATATCGTTGTTAGGTAACGGCTAGGTAAAAACATTACCGTGTCAGGCTATTATTTCTTCCCAAAATTTGTTGTTTTAACTTTGTTGTGCCTCCTAAAAACTCTAAAAAATCCTTCATTCTCGTATTCCTGAATTTCTCTCTCTGGAAAGTCCATGTGACTGTTCTTAATAATTTCATATAGATAAATGATTACTATTTAGTATTAATAGCAAGCAAAGTAGATAACTTTAAAAGCTTTACTGTACAAATTTTTCATAAATTTTCGAAACATTAACATTAGTATCCAGCTCCTGACAGGGTTGGCATAGAGGGTACGGACTAAACTCGCATTCTGGAGGTACTCACTTCGAATCTAAACCGGAACACGGGCTGACTGATATTTATCGCAGCATTTTTCAGCCCTTCCAGTAAAATTCGGGATCCTGAAAAAAAAAATTCATATTTCGTCCATCGTCCCACTGTTCGACACAGTCTATATTGTCACGACTTAGGTGTTGTGACTGTTGGATCGGTTTTGGATTGGATGATTGGATTTATTGACCATTTATAAACTCAGCTCTTAACTAAAAGTAATAGAGGGCAATCGCTGATCTACACACTTTACAAATCACTAGGACACGCCAAGTCTTCTCAGCCTTCATAAGTTCTATCCTTGCAACGGATTTATAACAGTCTCGCTGTAACTGCAGCACACATGAAGTCTTTTTTGCATAGCCTAATTCCTTTCTTGTCATTTCTTCTTAATTACTGTGCCGACTGCCAACTTCGGAGACTTTCAATTCTCTGGTGCAACAGCCAACTTCCGAAATCGACTGCCTTAAACGATCTTCTTTGATTTTAAATGCCCCTTCGGCACGGACCGCACATAAAACGCATATCTTCTATTGTTGCGTGTACTCGTCTACGCGGGATCGTCTTCACTCAACTGTTCCATGGCAACGGCTATAAGCATCACATCTTTTATCGTGCCACTTCCTCTATTGTTGCTTGCGTGTGTTACCTAGCTACGGCTGTTTCTCTGCCTCCACAGTTCTTACTTTGAACAAATGCCACAGTATATTGGCAGCATTGTAAAATAAAAAGGTAAATCTATCGCTGTAATAGGCCGCGGAGGCCCGTAGGGTGTGAGACGTAGAGGCTTCCACATTTTCTAGACAAGAAATAATATTTATCTAACCATGTAACTGAACTGGTAACCCTCTGAATAGGCTCATTATCGTGTTTACAAAATCCAGGCGTTGCAGTTCGTCCCGAGGGACCTACGGCAAAAGGCACATAAATATTTCTTTTAAACAGTAGAAATCCTTTTAGCGCCCGTCAGTGGCCGCGAGGTCTAAGGTAGGCCGCACATCGGCATGCGTCAAGACATGTAACAGTCAAGACACGATGTCTGCGACATGACGCAAATAAAGGATCACAGTTGATTGAGATTATGAAAACCGCCGCACACCCGTCTAAATCATGATGCTGACGTCATCACTCAGACCGGTATGCGCCGGTTTTCATAATCTCATTCGTTTCAACTCTGCTCCTTTCTTTGCGTCATGTCGCAGACATCTTGCCTTGATTGTTACATGTCTTGACGCATGTCGGTGTGCGGCTTACCTAAGGCATAAAATACATTCGCCCACTTTAATATTTGGATCGTGGGTTCGATTCCCATTCGAGGCACGGATGTGTATCTAGGTATTTTCTGTGTATATGTTATCCTATTCAGGCAGCGGCATCGCGGTATGCTGATCCCCCATCCAAGGATTCCTAATAACTATCTGTAAGATTAATAGTTTCACATTAATTCTGAATGGAAAAGGCGAAACAACCTAATCCGTCGAAATGAAGACTAAGATATTATTTTAGGTTTGTAATCACCGTGTAGCGAGAGAGCGCCTCCAGACAGTTGAAGTGTGTTTGTGTTTTGTGGCGTACCAAGCAAATGAGAGAACAGGAAAAACAAAGTGATAAAATGTTATGGTGTCGTTAATTTGAAATGTACTGGGGTGCAGTATATGCATTGTCAGAGCGAGGAATTATACAAGGAACGTTCAGAAATGGAGCAAGGGGAGAGGAAGGAGCAAGGTGGGACGGCAGTTGGAGCAACACTCGCGATCCCACACGATGTGCTAACAGACCTCGGATGTATAAGCAAAGTTGGTAATGCAGACAATTATATTAACAGGAGTGAACATGTTGACTTCAATCTGGTGTACCTCCTAGCTTACTGATCTCCAGAGGGACGACGAGGTAGCGTAATTGGTTGAGGCACTATGATATAAACCGGAAGGTCACAGGTTCGAGTACCAATGACGTGGATTCTATTCAATTTACCTAATCATTCCAGCCGCAATATGGCCCTGGGGTCGGCTCAGACTCTAACAGAAATGAGTAGCAGGAATCTTCCTGGGGGTAAAGGGCGACAGGCGCGTAAGGCTGACAAACTTATAGCAAGTGTCACGTAACTTCGAACGAGGTCAAGAGTAACCTTGAATGGGCAGAAGAAAAANCCGCCATCTGTGAGCCGACTGTCTAGAGAAAATGTGAGAGCCGCGACGTCTCACATCCCTGTGGGCCTCCACGGCCTCTTACAGAGATAGTTACTGATCTCCAAAAGAACCGGGATTTGCAAAGACAAATTTTCCTTGCAGTGACAAATAATAGAAGGAAAATATTTATATAAATAATATCTTCATTATATTCATGTGTAAATTTTCTGTAATGTAAAGTAAGTAAAGCTATCCCTGTAACGGGCCATGAAGGCCCATATGGTTGTGAGACATTGAGGGTCCCACATTATCTAGACAATCGGCTCAAAGATGGCGGTGAGGTTGTCAGCCTTACACGCCGACCGCGCTTTACTCCCCAGGAAAATTATTTAATTAATTCCTGGTACTCATTTCTGTTAGAGGCTGAGTCGAGCCCAGGGCCATTGTGCGGCTGGAAGGATTAGGTCAATTGAAAAAATCCAATGA